AATTTTATGGCCGCTACATAATACATATAGTCTTAAAACGTGGCGGGCAGTGGGTAGCCTCGTGGTTAAAGCGTTCGCTCGTCACGCCGAAGACCCGGGTTCGATTCCCAACATGGGTACAATGTGTGAAGCCCATTTCTAGTGTCCCCCGCCGTGATATTGCTGGAATATTGCTAAAAGCGTAAAACCAAAATCACTCACTTAAAAACGTAGATCGCCCTGGGCCCCATGTATTCCATTGATTCCACAACTTTCTGCCAGCGCACGTTCTCGTTGGCGTGAGATGCGTCACGTGTAAATATAAATTGTAAATGCAAGAGAACAACCGGCCAAGATTTTCTGGCGAAACAGATTCCACTTGGCGTAAAGGGCAAATAGCTGTGTAAATTATATGAATGGACCACTGAAAATCAGTGATGACACCAGGTGTTCGCGAAAAGGGTAAGCACCTGCCATTCATACAGATTGTATTGACATGCGTCACTTAATGACTTTACTCCAATAATAAGCTAACACGCTGACCAGACTCACTAATGCACCCCCCCCCCCCCCCCGGATTAATTCCGGATTATAATGGGTCTCCAGCATCCTATTGTCGGGTGTCATTATACCTCGACGACGTATGTTGTTGCTCATTATATCAATCACTCGATTGTCTGGTCCAGACTCGATTATTTACAGGCTTATAACCTGTAACCTGACGCGGCTTTAAACAACATTAAACATAAAATAACGATACGTTTGGAAAATATATTGAGCTCGGAAAATAACATTCTGAAACTTGATAACCTAATTTGAATTCTTCCGCCGATATTTTCGGGAAATAAGAACACGATGCATTTAATGTTATCCGTCGGCTTGTCATGTAAATAGTCCTGTAAATGTGTTCATGAATCGAATCGAATTAAATCTTCTCCTTACCACTGAGTTATTTCGGCCTCCGACTCTCATCACTTGAACAGATATATTAGATTTCTGACAAGGTAGACACCGAGGCCTACTGCGCCACCGTGTAGTGTTACGCGCATATATATAGTGCACAAACGCAGGGTTTCCAGCAGGAGTGAATACTTATCAATTCATTTGTTTCAAATTGATTCATTGGCCACCTCTGTCTAGGATACAAACTGTTTGTATTTGTGAGTATTTGAGTCGTGTTCAGATGACATGACGAAAGGGTCCGTGCAATTAGCCGTATATTTTGTCTCATCTCTCGGGTATCAGTTTACATACACTATGGTCTATGGCATTTGGGGTGAGGCGAGGTGCGTTGAAAAGCTTTTGGCTGCTTGTAATACTAGTTGTCAGGACTCATTCCGGTTTTATAGTGCCAGCCCACTGAGATACCAGGCCGTAGTTTAACATGAACCCCCACTCAGACATATCATACTAACCCCGAGCCGACCAGTCCTTGTTTTAGCCCCTTAATGCAGAGCGCCAGGCAGGGTAGCAACAAGTACCATCTTTTACCGTCTTTTGGTATGACGCGGATGGGGACTGAGTCACCGACCTTCCGCTCTCTGGGCAGATGCTGCATCCTCTTTACAACGGAGGCAGCGTCTGGGAAATCTAGGACACGATTAGACCATGGTACCTCATTGGATGACTACAGGTAAAGCCGATTCACATCTGTGCCCAAATACGTCTTTACAAGATGTACAATGCATACGTTTTAGATGCTCAATTTGCTAAAGCCATATGCCCGCAAGATCCCAAGTCGTCAAAGATGTCGCAGTTCACTATGTGGTGTTGCGTTCCTTTGCCGTGCCAAAAACCCATGGTCGTGGGTTCGAATCCCGGAATCCTTCTGAATGCATCACACCCGTGATGGGTTTCAAATCTTCCCGAGGCAAGAGAGTTAACTGACTATAAATGTCTCCCAATTCGGGTCAGAGCTTGGTCTTAACTTAGAAACCAACACGAAAATGAGAAAATATGTCATAGAAGACGTCAACTACCAGCTAAGCCAAAATAGTTTACTTTTTTGTCCACCCTCCCGACAACATGATTTTGTGTCAGGGCCTGTCCTTTCTCAGCTTCCCGAGGCAAGAGAGTTAACTGACCATAAAAGTCCAGTTTCCACCCTTACCGAACTAGGCTGGTATTATGGAGTTACATTTTGGCTGGACTAAAGAGTCTATGCATTGTCCAATCAAAATCGCGCAACGGAATCGAAATCCTGTTCGTTAACTGTGATGCAGATTTTGGTTGATTGCAGGATTTGCAAAGCATGTGCACGGCTAACTCGTTGTGAACACATATTTTTCAAATCTTTGTAATCAGGGAGCTCACGTGATTTGGAATCTGATTGGTCCATAGGAGAGACATAGAAGGGACATAACTCCTAATAGCCACTGGTGGCGCTACGATCAAATCCGGGAATTCCAGCGTAGTTCGGCAAGGATGGAAACTGGATTTTAAAGACAGTTAACTCACTTGCCTCGGGAAGATGGGGTTTCACCCAAGTATAAACCGGCATCACTTCAGGCTCCAGGTGACTCAACGCCCTGCTCCGTACTCCTAATACAGGGGGCACGGGTGGCCCAGTCGTCTAAGGCGCCGCGATTCGCTGTGCAGAGCTGCTTCCCTTGGGCACGCCAGAAACCTATGATTGTGGGTTCGAATCCCGGTTCACCCCGATTATGCTTCTAGGTTTCTCAGCACCATACCGTGCTCGTTGGTTTCACCGAAGTGGTGAACGTCTGAGACCTGCATCAACTCGGGCTTTTCTCCCACACTAAGCTGACACACCGCGATATAACTGGAATACTGTTAAAAGCGGCGTTAAACCCAACTCACTCACTCACTACTCCCCATACAGGCCCCTCCCGGGTTGCATAGTAAGGTACTGAGTGAGTGAGTGAGTGAGTGAGTATGGTTTTACGCCGCTTTTAGCAATATTCCAGCAATATCACGGCGGGGGACACCAGAAATAGGCTTCACACATTGTACCCATGTCGGGATTCGAACCCGGGTCTTCGGCGTGACGAGCGAACGCTTTAACCACTAGGCTACCCGACCGCCCCCGTAAGGTACTGAGACTTATTGTGCTTACATTTAACATGAACGTGCTCGGTTTGTTTATTTTGTAAATTAGTTGCAATAGGAATGTATTAATTTGCAACCGCGAGATTTAAAATGCCCTCAAACTATCGGTGTGTAAGCAAATTAGCATTTTTCAACTGTTTTGATCATAGTTACACGTTGTTCATGGAAATCTCGATAAATAGATCTTATAAGGGCCTGTCTAAGTGTTAGTGGGGCAGTGGGGAAGCCTGGAGGTTAAGACGTCGATTTCTCAGGCCGCCGACCTGAGTTCTATTCTCCAGGTGGGTCTCGCTTGCAGTAAGGCCGGATCATTGTAGAGTAAAGTCTTATAGTGAGTTTGGTTTTACGCCGCTTTTAGCAATATTCCAGCAATATCACGGCGGGGGACACAAAAATGGGCTTCACACATTGTACCTATGTCGGGAATCGAACCCGGGTCTTCGGCGTGACGAGCCAACGCTTTAACCACTGGGCTACCCGACCGACCCGAACTGTCTTATAACTCACATTCATTGGGTGCAAAATACCTCGAGCCCTATTTCAATGCTTAAAGAATATGTCCAAGCAGATTTGTGTCGTAAAGTCTTATAGTGAGTGAGTGAGTTTGGTTTTACGCCGCTTTTAGCAATATTCCAGCAATATCACGGCGGGGGACACAAAAAGGGGCTTCACACATTGTACCCATGTCGGGAATCGAACCCGGGTCTTCGGCGTGACGAGCCAACGCTTTAACCACTGGGCTACCCGACCGACCCGAACTGTCTTATAACTCACATTCATTGGGTGCAAAATACCTCGAGCCCTATTTCAATGCTTAAAGAATATGTCCAAGCAGATTTGTGTCGTAAGAGGTGGCTAAAATGGATGGGAACCAAGCTCGACTGGGTGTCATCGTTCCCCGACGGTGTGGGACTTTGCTCATATTATTAACCATCGGGGAAGAGAATTTATGGATGTCAACTTATGAGGAACACTGTGTCACTTTTAAATGCCTTTCAAAGACTTAAAATCAGCCATTAGTTTTGTCGGGCCGAGACTCGGTTGTTTACAAGCCGTTATGGCAGATATATTTTTTACCCTGGCGTAAAACAACAAACAAATATAGGAAAGGTGTTTCATTGGTAGGATACTACATATGCGGATTCTCGTCTGTTTGTTTGTTATTTTACGCCGCACTCAGCAATATTCCAGCTATATGACGGTGATTGTAGGCAAAACATAGATATATCTATATGTCATGTATTTTCAGTCTTCACAGACTGAAGCCTTGTCTGGTTTGGGTCTAAGCTTAAATTGATACCTGATTCAGATCAACTTAAAAGGAGGCCACGGGTGGCCTAGTCGCAAAAAGCGCAGCATTCGTTTGGTCTTATGGGGTTCTCTTCAGTCTCTTGGGCGTCTCCTGAGTCTCTTGGGCGTCTCTTGAGTCTCTTGGGTCTCTTGGGCGTCTCCTGAGTCTCTTGGGCGTCTCTTGAGTCTCTTGGGGTTCTCCTGAGTCTCTTGGGCGTCTCTTGAGTCTCTTGGGGTTCTCCTGAGTCTCTTGGGCGTCTCTTGAGTCTCTTGGGGTTCTCCTGAGTCTCTTGAGTCTCTTGGGCGTCTTCTGAGTCTCGTGGGTGTCTCTTGAGTGTCTCTTGAGTCTCTTGGGTCTCTTGGGCGTCTCATGAGTCTCTTGGGCGTCACATGAGTCTCTTGCTCGTCACTTCGGGGTTCCGTTACATGACGTGAATATTGCTAATACACTCACTCCTCATATACTTTATTGTTCACTGGGGTAGCCTAGTTTTATAAACGTTCGCTTGTCACGCCGAAGACCCGGGTTCGATTTCGAACATGGGTACAATGTGTGAAGCCCCTGGTGTTCTACGCCGTGATATTGTAGGAATATTGCAAAAGGCGGTGACAAACCATGCTCACATACTCACCTTTATTCACTGATAACAAAACTAACGCTCTGAAAAACAAAATCCTTTATTTGAGAATGCGTTATTATATACAGTGGTGAGAATTGCATACAATGATGTGTCGCCATGATGACATGATGAGTATAGTACAGGGTAAGGATGATGGCAAACAACACAGGCAACAAACAATGGTTACTTTCAGGTGACAAAACGTAAATAAATTTCTTCTCAACCAACAACGTTATTTAATAACAGATAATAATGGCGAACCATCCTTAGTTCACGGGTACTTTCACAACGGCTTCCCGTCGTGCCTCGGAGATCTTACTTGTTTGTTTAATCCAGACATCATTAGACGGCGAGCTGGCTGTGGCACTAAAGTAATGTACGATTTCAAGAATGAAGCATAAAGCTCGCAGGGAATCCGTGAGATACATCAAAATAGCACCTTTTCAGACAGTTATTGTGTAACAGTTAAAGCATATATTACGACTTCAGCTGTCAACGTTTTTTTTTTATTTAGTCACAGTCACCAGGATGTAATTTACTCGTCTTTTGCTAAGGATACATAAATTGGTATTGAAGTCCAGCTTCACGCTGACCGACTTGACGCCATGGTAGGTTGACCTTCACCTTTCTCCATGTGTATGGAGAACTCACTGAGGATTGAGGAGTGATGACAGTTGTCATCTTTTTGAAAAGGGGTCGTTGGGGAAGACAGAACCCAGTGTTGGCGTGTCACACGCGTGGTGTCATCTCGAGTTTTCCGGATGAGCCCACGGTGTGAAGGTCATTCATGACGTCAATCAGAAGAACACCGCTGTCGCAACGTTACACGCTTGCGCTTCATTGTATCCCTAACTAAAGACGAGTAGTGTAGTTCTCAAAAGTAACACTGCCATTCGGAAGAGCGGACTACTTGAGCTAACATACGACCAACTTATTTTCTGTGAGGTCTTGCTCGTTGGTGGGTTTTTTTCAACAGACGTTTGAATATATAAGCAAAACAGAATCATACAGACGGTGGGACATGGAAAAATCAATACTGACTAGCGGTGCTCAATTGACATGGGTATCAAAATTAATGCATGTATGCATATTTAAGTGCATTTATTGACTAAAACAATATTACAAACTTGTACTGTCATTGCTAAGGTCAACGCTATATGTACACATGAAATTCCTTAATAATACAGAGTATTCACAGATATTAAGGTATAATTTCTCTCGTTCATTCATAACACACACGGATCTACTGACGTATATTCAGGGTTGAGTATTTGCAGTGAAGGAGCATGAACTTCCTGAAGAGTCAATAGGTCATATATTTGACTTGAAAGTGATAGATATTTTCAGCACCAGTTCAACAACTGACGTTTAAGGACACAGATGAAACTTCGTTACAGTTCCATCGGCAATACTCCATAGCCTTGTACACACAACGTTCCTCCATAACCTGTGAATACATACTGACGCTATGGGTCTAGTTCCATGCAGCAACGGCCGGCGTCCAGCGGGTGTTCTGACCAATGAGCGCTCAGATTACAACGGCAATATTTCTCGTGCACCCAGTGCCAGCCTTGCGCTCATGTGTACTCTTCAGGGTAGGGTTCGCACAAAGTTGATGCACGGAGTGCGTCTGACTTCCGTGATTTCTCCATGGTCTCTTTTCATTGGTTGATTACAATGTGACACTTGCAGACCGCACATCGGCCGTTTGTATGCATATACGTGATGGAAGAACGTAGTGTATATACATATCTCCGTGAAGTATTGATGATGTTACAACTGGTACAATGAAACTACACGATAGGAACACAATAGCCTCAGCCCAGACTTGAACTTCGAGGAAAGACCCAAAGGTCTTTTTTTCAAACGATTAACATAGTGATCGGTCCAAAACGTTACATTTTTTGGCATTAAAACATATCAAAGTTGTTTGAGGAATGTTCTTGAATCCTTACTACGATCTATGTGGAAAAGACAATCTACTTTCTTCTGACAGCAATTTATAAAAAATCTGGACTTATATTCGCTGTATACAGCGGTGGATAATTCATGCAGTGTCCAAGCCTGAGAATGTATACATTGTGCTTTATTAGTCATACTCCTAACGACACATGGTGTCATCTTGGAGTCATGTGTTCAATCAAATGCGTAGTTATACATTGCAAGAAATCAAGTAAACCAACCTTCTAGCGTTACAATGTATGTGCTAATATTGGTTGTATCCATTCGTCACCACTCGCCCCCTTTCGTAACCTGCAAGCAGACTCGTCCCCCTATCGATGAAAGTTATGTGCGAAAATACGACGAACCAATCAGAATGCGCGTATGATTTCAAGTTCTTCGTCAAAGAATCCCTCAAAAATACTTTTTGATTTTACATATGTCTTGCATCTAAAAACAAACCCAAGACACAGTTATATGTGTTCAATCATACTCTATAATTCCGCGTGTCCAGAAGTGCTTTAAATTGCATCTGAAATATATATACTTTATTTGGAAATATATGTGAACCATTACGCAACGAGTTGACATTTGTTTTAGGTATGCCCGTTTGCGCTAAGACGGAACCCGGTCGCAAAAATGGCCACGAGAGGGGCACGAGTCGCTATTCGGCTTGTTCCGGAATAAAACGAGTTGGTCACGAATGGGTTGTATCGTGTTCAAGCAAGACGTTGATTTTCACGCATTCAGCTTAGGGGTCGAAGCTGGAGCTGCGTGAAGTTGGTATCTTAGGGTCTACATCATGTTGAGCAATTAGTGGCACGGGCTGGTACCCGTTAATACCATGGAAGCAAAGATGCACAGAAATCACAAATATCTGACTCCCCACTGGCGTTATTCGTTGGGACAACGCGTTTCGTGGGAAGTCACACGCATTAACATACTGGCGTTCTTCGTTGGAACAACGCGTTTGGGGTGAGCTCGCAAACAATCTCACACTGGCGTTTTTCCTTGAGACAACGCGTTTGATGTGAGATCGCAAACAATCCCACACTCGGAACAACACATTTCGTGTACGGTAATAAGCATTCACACACAAAAACCGTGGGGAAATTACAAAGAAATAATTCTTGGTAATATAACAATACTGTAGTCGCCTGTCGGTCGTACCCGCCATCAAAATGGCGAAGAACACGGCAAACGTCATTCACACGTCCATTCAAACAGAATGAAGCGTTTCAACATGTGTGCAAAAACGCTCCAGTCTTCGTAATTCTAAATACAAAACTTCCGCTTCTCCAGGCATGCTCGAAGACATCATTGCAGATATTGTCTGTACATACAGGAACACTATTGCATCGAATACGTGTGACACACAACAGTCGCTATACGTTGGTCGATTCATGATAGTCGTCTAGATTGATTATAATCCTCTTGCCGTTAAGGTTAGGCGTAGAGGGCGTGGAGTCAGGGAGGTCATCCTTCTGAGCAGCCTCGGTCATGGCGGACAGTTTGTACTGAAGGTGACGGTTGCCTATCTTCATGTTCCGCTGTTTCAGTGTCTCAAGCTGCATGTACAGTCTCTTGAACTCCTCCTGGAACAGGAAACCCCCACAGTGTTAATACCTAGGCTGGACGAGTCACATGCAGACAGTGTTAATACCTAGGCTGGACGAGTCACATGTAGACAGTGTTAATACCTAGGCTGGACGAGTCACATGTGGACAGAGTTTATACCTAGGCTGGACGAGTCACATGTACACAGTGTTAATACCTAGGCTGGACGAGTCACATGTACACAGTGTTAATACCTAGGCTGGACGAGTCACATGTGGACAGAGTTTATACCTAGGCTGGACGAATCACATGTAGACAGTGTTAATACCTAGGCTGGACGAGCCACATGTACACAGTGTTAATACCTAGGCTGGACGAGCCACATGTACACAGTGTTAATACCTAGGCTGGACGAGTCACATGTACACAGTGTTAATACCTAGGCTGGACGAGTCACATGTGGACAGAGTTTATACCTACGGAGGTGGCAGAGTTACATGTAGACAGTGTTAATACCGACAGAGGTGGTAGAGTTATATGTAGGCAGTGTTAACACCGACAGAGGTGGTAGGGTTATATGTAGGCAGTGTTAACACCGACAGAGGTGGTAGAGTTATATGTAGGCAGTGTTAACACTAACAGAGGTGGTAGAGTTATATGTTTGCAGTGTTAATACCTTGGGAGGTTGTAGAGTTATATGTAGGCAGTGTTAACACCGACAGAGGTGGTAGAGTTATATGTAGGCAGTGTTAACACCGGCACAGGTAGTAGGGTTATATGTTGGCAGTGTTAACACTAACAGAGGTGGTAGAGTTATATGTTGGCAGTGTTAATACCGACAGAGGTGGTAGAGTTATATGTAGGCAGTGTTAACACCGACAGAGGTGGTAGAGTTATATGTAGGCAGTGTTAACACCGACAGAGGTGGTAGGGTTATATGTAGGCAGTGTTAACACCGACAGAGGTGGTAGAGTTATATGTTGGCAGTGTTAATACCTTGGGAGGTGGTAGAGTTACATGTAGTTAGTGTTAACATCGACAGAGGTGGTAGAGTTATATGTAGGCAGTGTTAACACCGACAGAGGTGGTAGAGTTATATGTAGGCAGTGTTAATACCGACAGAGGTGGTAGAGTTACATGTTGGCAGTGTTAATACCTTGGGAGGTTGTAGAGTTATATGTAGTTAGTGTTAACATCGACAGAGGTGGTAGAGTTATATGTAGACAGTGTTAACACCGACAGAGGTGGTAGAGTTATATGTTGGCAGTGTTAATACCGACAGAGGTGGTAGAGTTATATGTAGGCAGTGTTAATACCTTGGGAGGTTGTAGAGTTATATGTAGACAGTGTTTATACCGACAGAGGTGGTAGGGTTATATGTAGGCAGTGTTAACACCGACAGAGGTGGTAGAGTTACATGTAGGCAGTGTTAATACCGACAGAGGTGGTAGGGTTATATGTAGGCAGTGTTAATACCGACAGAGGTGGTAGAGTTACATGTAGTTAGTGTAGATACCGACAGAGGTGGTAGGGTTATATGTAGGCAGTGTTGACACCGACAGAGGTGGTAGAATTATATGTAGACAGTGTTAACACCGACAGAGGTGGTAGAGTTATATGTTGGCAGTGTTAATACCGACAGAGGTGGTAGAGTTATATGTAGGCAGTGTTAATACCTTGGGAGGTTGTAGAGTTACCTGTAGACAGTGTTTATACCGACAGAGGTGGTAGGGTTATATGTAGGCAGTGTTAACACCGACAGAGGTGGTAGAGTTACATGTAGGCAGTGTTAATACCGACAGAGGTGGTAGAGTTACATGTAGGCAGTGTTAATACCGACAGAGGTGGTAGAGTTACATGTAGACAGTGTTAATACCGACAGAGGTGGTAGGGTTATATGTAGGCAGTGTTAACACCGACAGAGGTGGTAGAGTTACATGTAGGCAGTGTTAATACCGACAGAGGTGGTAGGGTTATATGTAGGCAGTGTTAACACCGACAGAGGTGGTAGAGTTACATGTAGGCAGTGTTAATACCGACAGAGGTGGTAGAGTTACATGTAGGCAGTGTTAATACCGACAGAGGTGGTAGAGTTATATGTAGGCAGTGTTAACACCGACAGAGGTGGTAGAGTTATATGTAGGCAGTGTTAACACCGACAGAGGTGGTAGAGTTACATGTAGACAGTGTTAACACTAACAGAGGTGGTAGAGTTATATGTTTGCGGTGTTAATACCTTGGGAGGTTGTAGAGTTATATGTAGGCAGTGTTAACACCGACAGAGGTGGTAGAGTTATATGTTGGCAGTGTTAATACCTTGGGAGGTTGGAGATTTATGTAGGCAGTGTTAACACCGACAGAGGTGGTAGAGTTACATGTAGGCAGTGTTAATACCGACAGAGGTGGTAGAGTTACATGTAGGCAGTGTTAATACCTAGGCTGGACGAGTCACATGTACACAGTGTTAATACCTAGGCTGGACGAGTCACATGTGGACAGAGTTTATACCTAGGCTGGACGAATCACATGTAGACAGTGTTAATACCTAGGCTGGACGAGCCACATGTACACAGTGTTAATACCTAGGCTGGACGAGCCACATGTACACAGTGTTAATACCTAGGCTGGACGAGTCACATGTACACAGTGTTAATACCTAGGCTGGACGAGTCACATGTGGACAGAGTTTATACCTACGGAGGTGGCAGAGTTACATGTAGACAGTGTTAATACCGACAGAGGTGGTAGAGTTATATGTAGGCAGTGTTAACACCGACAGAGGTGGTAGGGTTATATGTAGGCAGTGTTAACACCGACAGAGGTGGTAGAGTTATATGTAGGCAGTGTTAACACTAACAGAGGTGGTAGAGTTATATGTTTGCAGTGTTAATACCTTGGGAGGTTGTAGAGTTATATGTAGGCAGTGTTAACACCGACAGAGGTGGTAGAGTTATATGTAGGCAGTGTTAACACCGGCACAGGTAGTAGGGTTATATGTTGGCAGTGTTAACACTAACAGAGGTGGTAGAGTTATATGTTGGCAGTGTTAATACCGACAGAGGTGGTAGAGTTATATGTAGGCAGTGTTAACACCGACAGAGGTGGTAGAGTTATATGTAGGCAGTGTTAACACCGACAGAGGTGGTAGGGTTATATGTAGGCAGTGTTAACACCGACAGAGGTGGTAGAGTTATATGTTGGCAGTGTTAATACCTTGGGAGGTGGTAGAGTTACATGTAGTTAGTGTTAACATCGACAGAGGTGGTAGAGTTATATGTAGGCAGTGTTAACACCGACAGAGGTGGTAGAGTTATATGTAGGCAGTGTTAATACCGACAGAGGTGGTAGAGTTACATGTTGGCAGTGTTAATACCTTGGGAGGTTGTAGAGTTATATGTAGTTAGTGTTAACATCGACAGAGGTGGTAGAGTTATATGTAGACAGTGTTAACACCGACAGAGGTGGTAGAGTTATATGTTGGCAGTGTTAATACCGACAGAGGTGGTAGAGTTATATGTAGGCAGTGTTAATACCTTGGGAGGTTGTAGAGTTATATGTAGACAGTGTTTATACCGACAGAGGTGGTAGGGTTATATGTAGGCAGTGTTAACACCGACAGAGGTGGTAGAGTTACATGTAGGCAGTGTTAATACCGACAGAGGTGGTAGGGTTATATGTAGGCAGTGTTAATACCGACAGAGGTGGTAGAGTTACATGTAGTTAGTGTAGATACCGACAGAGGTGGTAGGGTTATATGTAGGCAGTGTTGACACCGACAGAGGTGGTAGAATTATATGTAGACAGTGTTAACACCGACAGAGGTGGTAGAGTTATATGTTGGCAGTGTTAATACCGACAGAGGTGGTAGAGTTATATGTAGGCAGTGTTAATACCTTGGGAGGTTGTAGAGTTACCTGTAGACAGTGTTTATACCGACAGAGGTGGTAGGGTTATATGTAGGCAGTGTTAACACCGACAGAGGTGGTAGAGTTACATGTAGGCAGTGTTAATACCGACAGAGGTGGTAGAGTTACATGTAGGCAGTGTTAATACCGACAGAGGTGGTAGAGTTACATGTAGACAGTGTTAATACCGACAGAGGTGGTAGGGTTATATGTAGGCAGTGTTAACACCGACAGAGGTGGTAGAGTTACATGTAGGCAGTGTTAATACCGACAGAGGTGGTAGGGTTATATGTAGGCAGTGTTAACACCGACAGAGGTGGTAGAGTTACATGTAGGCAGTGTTAATACCGACAGAGGTGGTAGAGTTACATGTAGGCAGTGTTAATACCGACAGAGGTGGTAGAGTTATATGTAGGCAGTGTTAACACCGACAGAGGTGGTAGAGTTATATGTAGGCAGTGTTAACACCGACAGAGGTGGTAGAGTTACATGTAGACAGTGTTAACACTAACAGAGGTGGTAGAGTTATATGTTTGCGGTGTTAATACCTTGGGAGGTTGTAGAGTTATATGTAGGCAGTGTTAACACCGACAGAGGTGGTAGAGTTATATGTTGGCAGTGTTAATACCTTGGGAGGTTGGAGATTTATGTAGGCAGTGTTAACACCGACAGAGGTGGTAGAGTTACATGTAGGCAGTGTTAATACCGACAGAGGTGGTAGAGTTACATGTAGGCAGTGTTAATACCGACAGAGGTGGTAGGGTTATATGTAGGCAGTGTTAATACCGACAGAGGTGGTAGAGTTACATGTAGTTAGTGTAGATACCGACAGAGGTGGTAGGGTTATATGTAGGCAGTGTTAACACCGACAGAGGTGGTAGAATTACATGTAGACAGTGTTAATATCGACAGAGGTGGTAGGGTTATATGTAGGCAGTGTTAATACCGACAGAGGTGGTAGAGTTACATCTAGACATTGTTAATACCGACAGAGGTGGTAGAGTTACATCTAGACATTGTTAATACCTACGTAGGTGCTAGAATCAAAACCTTGGGAGGTGGTAGTGAGTGGTTTTGGGATGAAGGTTCGTGTCATTTGACGTCAGTTGTCATAATGTGTAGCAATAAACAAATTAAATATTCATACACCTCGAACAAATTCGAGTGTGTGAATGAAAACACATATGAGAAATGGGACGGTGTTGATTTCATTTTACGTAGCTGCTTTTGTGTCTTGTGATGTCGACTGCGGTACTACCTCAGTGCCGACATGTGCCTGTTTTCATCACTGCCATCTCTTCTTTACCATGGCTGGGGAACTCCGAGAATGGGATCCACAGATTGTACCCATGCATGGAACCAGTCCCGGGTACTGGTCTTGAAGAAAATCTAGTAACACCCCTACACCGATCTAGCGCCTATCTCCTCGCTACAATGAAACTTGCAATGCCCGTAAGAACGTTTGTTTGTTTGTAGTTTAACGCAATCTCATTAAAATGAGATCTAGGTTCTCGCTGCCGCTAAACAAAGATCTAAGGACAACCCATTACGGGTCACGTCAGAACGACCTTTCGCGAACTTTGACCGACCACTGAAACGAATAACCAGAAGTCGATATCAGCCAATGAGATAGCAGCTTTCTCGAGCTTTACGGCACTCGTTTCAACCTGGCGACTTCCTTTTCAGACTACGCTTGAAAAATATGTTGACACAGTTCTCGATTAAAATTTTGAAAACTGAACAGAAGAACAATCCGGAATATCTAATATATCGTTGCGATCGTATGGCAGTGCTTCCCACGTACTGTGCAGCGCCTCCTCCGTTCAAATGTTTATCCTACGGAAGCGAGAGACAGACGATGATTTTGACGGAATCAGTCGTACGGGCCGTAACTGTCGTTCGGAATACCCCGTTTCAACGTTTTCGAGGTGGCATGTTTAGAAAACACATTCCGACTGTCACTTTCATGATCTGGTAAGTGACGCTTTGATTGGTCGGATGAAAGGTCGTTCTGATAGCGATAGCGAGAACTAAGATCTGATTTTAATGAGATTGTAGTTTAACGCTGCACAAATTATCGAGTGTGGACCAGACAATCCAGTGATTGGCATCATGCGCATCGATCCGCGCAATTAAGATACGATGATATGTGTCAATCAAGTCAGCGAGCCTGACCCCTCGATCCCGTTAGTCTTACGAAAAGCATGGGTTGCTGAAGACCAAATATAACCCGGATCTTCACGGGTCACTTAATAGCTAAAGAGCGACAGACAGTATATTATCGGGGTTTTGCTTGTATGAATACTTGATAAATAGATAGAATAGTTTGTTTGCTTGTTTTTAACGCCGCACTCAGCAATATTCCAGCTACATGACGGCGGTCTTTAAGTCAAGTCTGGACCAGACAATCCAGTGATTGACATCATGAGCATCGATCTTTTCAACTGGGATACGAAGATAAAATAGTAAGACAGTGGTTCTCTTCACGAGGGCTCTACAATGCCAATATGAATTAAGGTAAGAGTGAGTGAGTGAGTTTGGTTTAACGCCTCTTTTAACATTATTTCAGTTATATCACGGAGTGTCAACTTACTGGGTAGGAAAGCCCGAAGTGTTGCAGGTCTCAGACGTTTACCACTTTCGTGAAGCCCACAAGCACGGGTATGGTGCTGACAAACATAGAAACATGATGGGGGCGAACCGGGATTCGAACCCACAATCATAGGTTTCTGGCGTGCCCATGGGACGACGCAACTCTGCACAGCATAGCGGCGCCTTAGACGACTGGGCCACCCGTGTCCCGAATTCGGGTCAGAGCTTGGTCTTAACTTAGAAACCAACACGAAAATGAGAAAACATGTCATAGAAGACGTCAACTGCCAACTAAGCCAAAATAGTTTACTTTTTTGTCCACCCTCCCGACAACATGATTTTGTGTCAGGGCCTGACCTTTCTCATCTTCCCGAGGCAAGAGAGTTAACTGACCATAAAAAAACAGTTTCCACCCTAGCCGAACTAGGCTGGTATTATGGAGTAACATTTTGGCTGGACTAACGAGTCCATGCATAGTCCAATCAAAATCGCGCACCAAAATCGAAGTCCGGTTCGTAAATTGTCGTGCAGATTTCGATCGACTGCAGGATTTGCAAAACGTGTGCACCGCCAACTCGTTGTCAGCAGATATTTTCCAAATCTTTTCATGTTTTTAATAAAGGTGCTCACGTGAGTTGATGCATTTCGCGATGTAAGACCCGTTTTATCACAATATAGATCTTGATTATCGACCAGATCGTCCTGACTGGGCGCCACCATTTTGGGTGAAGCAAACGCAAGTGATACGAGAGGTGGAATCTGATTGGTCTATAGAAGAGGCTGAGAAGGGACATAACTGGTAATAGCCACTGGTGGCGCTACGATCGAGCCCAGTAATTCCAGCCGAGTTTGGCAAGGGTGGAAACTGGATTTTTAAAGTCAGTTAACACTCTTGCCTCGGGGAGATGGACCTTACTTAGAAATCAAAACGAATATGAGAAACTATGTCAAAGAATTCGAGAGAACATCAACTACGAACCAAGCTCAAATAGTTTAATTTTTGTTTGAAAATGTTCGAAACGTTAAGGTAACTTTCAAAAACATTCTCGTATTGGGCTTCACACATTGTACCCATGTCGGGAATCGAACCCGGGTCTTGGGCGTGACGAGCGAACACTTTAACCACTAGGCTACCCGACCGCCCCTCGAATTGAAAGAGGGTACTGACTGACAATTGGTGGACAACTTTGTTCAGCGCCGTCAAAACTACAGGTAACATAGCCCTGCATTGAAAACACAGTTATCTCCTAATTAAACGTCTGAGTGAGTGAGTTGGTTTAACGCTGCTTTTAACAGTATTCCAGTTATATCGCTGCGTGTCAGCTTAATGTGGGAGGAAAGCCCGAAGTGATGCAGGTCTCAGGCGTTTAACACTTTGGTGAAATAATGAGCATGGGTATGGTGCTGACAAACCTAGAGTGAGTGAGTGAGTTGGGTTTAACGCCGCTTTTAACAGTATTCCAGTTATATCACGGCGTGTCAGCTTAATGTGGGAGGAAAGCCCGAAGTGATGCAGGTCTCAGGCGTTAAACACTTTGGTGAAATCATGAGCACGGGAATAGTGCTGACAAACCTAGAGTGAGTGAGTGAGTGAGTTGGGTTGGGTTTAACGCCGCTTTTAACAGTATTCCAGTTATATCGCGGCGTGTCAGCTTAATGTGGGAGGAAAGCCCGAAGTGATGCAGGTCTCAGACGTTTACCACTTCGGTGAAACCCATGAGCATGGTGCTGAGAAACCTAGAAACATAATCGGGGCGAACCGGGATTCGAACCCACAATCATAGGTTTCTGGCGTGCCCAAGGGACGCAGCTCTGCACAGCGAATCGCGGCGCCTTAAACGACTGGGCCACCCGTGCCCCCGACAAACCTAGAAATAATATCGGAGCGAACCGGGATTCGAACCCATGGCCATAGGTTCCTGGCGTGTCCAAAGGGATAGGTGATACACGGTGGAATGCGATGAGCAAGTGCGTACCCCACGTCTTACTAACTTCAAAAAGGGTATATACAAATTATTGGGGCACTAACCGAAATTATCCTATAATGAAACAGATGGCTAATTAAATGTCTTCTGATGATATGCAAGAGGTGAGGTGAGGTGAAATTGGGTTTAACGTCGCGTCCAAGATTATTGCACTTATATAGCGAAGTGCATGCACATGTGTGTGTGTGTGTGTGTGTGTGTGTGTCTGCTTGTACTAGTCCGGACTGATGCCGATTTATAGTGCTAGCCCACTGGGATACAATGCCGCAGTTTAACATGAATACCCCACCCAGACACAGTATACTGACTCCGAGCCGACCAGTCCTTGTTTTAGCACCTTAATGCCGAGCGCCAGACAGGGTAACAAGTACTATCTTTAAGCGTCTTTTGGTATAACGCGGCCGGGGATCGAACCCCAGACCTTCCGCTCTCCGGGCGGACGCTCTACCACTAGACCACGGAGGCGGTCTGATATGCAAGAAACAAGACGAGGGACATATGACCACGAATGTCAGAATGTAAAACAAGAACACCTGTTCAATGTATACGAGACAAAATAATGGTACAGTTAACTACGGTTATAACGAACTCAAAGGGACTACTATTTTTAGTTCGTTATAACCGTAGTTCGTTATAAGCATATATACAGCATAACTACAGCAAATAGTCGGGACTAAAAAGTAAGTTCGTTATATCGGTCAGTTCGTTATAAGCGTGTTCGTTATAACCGTAGTTTACTGTATCTTACTTCAAACTGATGAAAATTCCACACCGACGACTGTATGTATCACGTGATTTTTACAAAATGCCGATAATATACTGTCACGATCTCTCCACCTTACAGCACAACAGAAACCCGTTATTAACATGGAATACACGTGAATCACGTGCTCGGATATGTAAATGCACTGCACGTGATCACATAACGATGTTCATTGGACAAGAGCCTTTAGCTGTGCTTTAAGCAGTGAGATCACAATCACATTACGCAAGCAGATGCATTAACGATGCGGACACGATAAATGTGTACCTTGATATCCAATCTAAGTACCTTTAAGTCCTTATCCAAGACAACTACCTGTATATCCTTCTCCAGAAAGCTCTCGCACTCCGCCTCGTCAACACGGTCTCCGTAGCCGTTTGAAGACGCTGTGTTGGTCATGGCAGTTGCTGGCTTGGTCCCGAGGGTGTATTTTGAGCCCCTACTCAGCATTGTTGATTGTTGCTGGTTTTGTTGTTCTTTTGGGCCAGAACTGGACTTCAGCACAAGGTAGCACTGGTGAAAAAAAGTGAAGAAATGTAAATATTGTAAACTAATATCTGTCAAGGCCTCAGTAAAGTTTTCAAAAACCTTTATGGTAGACATTTGGAGGACATTTGAAAATTCAAAATTTGACGAATTTGTGACAAAAAATGATGTCCGATGCATTTCCCTATTTTGACTTGGGTTTTTTCCAGGTGAAAAATTGACATGCCTCTTCGTGTGTTTGTGACACATGGTATAACCATTATTTGATAGTGATTCAAAAACACATTCTCCTATAGTAGGAATCGTAGAATGGACTCTGCTTTTAGCAGAGATCGCTTATTATTATGGAAAGAATTTTGTCGCATTTATTTAAGTGTCTTGTTCAAATACTTTTCATTGTATTAACAGTGACTGACTCAGTTTGTTGCAGTGCCGCTTTCAGCAGTATATTTCAGTTACATCACGGCGTGTCAGCTTAATGTGGGAGGAAAGCCCGAAGTAATGCAGGTCGTACACCTTTACGACTGTAAACCCACGGACACAGTATGGTGCCGACAAACCAAGAAAAACAAATCGGAGAGAAGCGGGATTCGAACCCACGATCACAGGTTTATGGCGTGCCCAAGTGATTAAACGTTCAAAGACGATAGATGATACACAGTGGAATGCGATGAGCAAGTGTGTACCTCACGTGTGTAACTTCAAATAAGTAAAATTAATTAATGTTAATTAAGTTTTTGATAGGGCCCAGGACGGTGCTCTGCACAATGCAGCGTCCCCCAAGGCGACTGAGCTACCTGAGCCGGGGGTTGACGTTTTAATTGCGTGAGTGAGTGAGTTGGGTTTAACGCCGCTTTTAACATTATTCCAGTTATATCCCGGCGAGTCAGCTTAATGTGGGAGGAAAGCCAGAAGTGATGCAGGTCTCAGACGTTTACCACTTCGGTGAAACCCACGAGCACGGGCATGGTGCTGACAAACCTAGAAACATAATCGGGGCGCACCGGGATTCGAACCCACAATCATAGGTTTCTGGCGTGCCCAAGGGACGCAACTCTACACAGCGAATCGCGGCGCCTTAGACAACTGGGCCACCCGGGCCCCCGTTGACGTTTTAAACATGGCGTGGACTTACCTTGCTACCAAAGAGGAACGCCAAGGTGACCGTTGTCGTTAGCTGGGTGTGAATAAATACCACTAAGTATAACAAGTCAGGGTTGGTGGGGAAGGGATCTTTCAAAAATATCCTGAAAAAGATAATACGTATTAGTAATCATATTGATAATTCATTTTCATAATCACAAGTCGTTTGTTTGTTTGTTGTTTAACGCCTCACTCAGCAATATTCAAGCTTTATGACGGTTGTCTGTAAATAATCGAGTCACAAGACAATCCAGTGATTGATATCATGAGCATCGATCCACGCAATTGGGATACGATGACATGCATCAACCATGCCAACGAGCCTGACCACCAGATCCCGTTAGTCGCCTTTTACGGCAAGAATGGGTTGCTAAGGATCTATTCTGACCCTGATCTTCACGGGTCTAATCACAAGTTGATAAAGAAACATGATCACGATAACTTTATTACCAAGTACTTGACATGACAAATCCTACACCAGGTGAGGTAAGGAATATGCTGAACAATATCTGGCTATGATGACGCTGATGTCGTGATGAAGACGACCTTCAACAGCTGCATAGCCATCATTTCCAAGGTTCTAACAGTTGTAACAGTAAAATGACAGGCCATATCGTTAGGGGCGCCAAGTTGCCATAGTGATCGGTTCCTTGGCTTTCAAATGGCCAGGGGTTCGTTTCACAAAGCCATCATAGCGCCACGACTCTCCATCTCTGATACGATTATAGAGTAACAATACTAGCGCTGCAATCGCTTTGTGAACGGCCCCAAGAACAGCGGAATCTCGTCTATTGTAATACCAAAGGATCAGCAGATGTTCAGTGAACTCCAAAGGATCAGCAGATATTCAGTGAACCCCAAAGGATCAGCAGATATTCAGCGAACCCCAAAGGATCAGCAGATATTCAGCGAACCCCAAAGGATCAGCAGATATTCAGTGAATCCAAAAGGATCAGCAGATATTCAGCGAACCCCAAAGGATCAGCAGATATTCAATGAATCCCAAAGGATCGGCATATATTTAGCGAACCCCAAAGGATCAGCAGATATTCAGCGAACCCCAAAGGATCAGCAGATGTTCAGCGAACCCCGAGGGATCAGCAGATGTTCAGCGAACCCCGAGGGATCAGCAATTGCTAAGTGAGTTACAATGTCCTTGATGGTACACTGGAAATACTTAACGAGGTTTCGCATGGTGAGTGTGTCAACGACCTTGAGGGTGACATATTACGTAGTGTTTGTTTGTTGTTTAACGCCGAACGCAGCAATATTCCAGCTATATGACGGCGGTCTTTAAATAATCGAGTCTGGACCAGACAATCCAGTGATTGACATCTTGAGCATCGATCCACGCAATTGGGATACGGTGACATGCATATAGCAAGTCAGCGAGCCTGACCGCCCGATCCCGATAGTCGTCTCTTACGACAAGCAGTATCGCCTTTTACGCTTGCTGAAGATCTACCTGTATTTTACCCCGGATCTTCAGGGGTCTATTACGTACTGTGTCTCATGAAACACTACTATCCTCTGTCCGTCTACAGATAATAACTATATGTTTAAACAAGTGTGCATCTGGAGTTGAAATTTGATACAACAAAAAGAGACACCCATGCATTGGATAATCGATAGGATTGCCATATTAGAGGTATTACTTTCGCCCTAATTTAGTGAAAAACTGCTAGCAGATTATGTTTAAATTATCTCAGATTTCAGTTTTATTTTCACATTTCCGTCACGTTTCCTGTCCCTGAAGTACGTCACGCCACAAGGGGAACTACATTGGCGACAATGTTTTGCATCTCTTCTGGAGATTTATGCTTAACTTTTGGTGGCCGGGGAAAACCTAATCCACAAGATGGCTGAAGTTATTTTTCTTCAGAAATAATAACGACCTGACAATACGAGTATATTAAATACTAAGATGTCATGCACTCCATTCTGCTGTCAATCAATGTCAACTCGTGTCTTTAATACATATGGAAACAAAATAAAGGCCGAAACATTTCCGAAATAAAAAAGAATTGAATTCATTGAAAAGGAAATTACCACCGCAACTTTGGAGAACATTCCGCGAGAGAAAGATTGGAAGATTGAATACCCTACAATCATTTCCATTAATAATACCTCATATGGCAACCTCAATTATTTTTAATTTCTAAAGGAGATCGATTAATGTTTCTTTCGAAAAGTACAACTTTTGAACATTATTTCAAAACAACATGATGTGTCCGAGTGTGTGTCCGAGGGGAGAGTTTTTGTTTGTTTATTTGTTGTTTAACGCAGCACGCAGCAATATTACAGCTATGTGGCGGCGGTCTGTAAATAATCGAATCTGGGCCAGACAATCCAGTGATTGACGTCATGAGCATCGATCCACGCATTTGGGATACGATAACATGCATGAACCAAGTCAGCGTGCCTGACCACCCGATCCCGTTAGTTGCCTCTTACGACAAGCACAGTCGCCTTTTACGGCAAGCATGGGTTGCTGAAGACCGATCCTACCCTGGAATCTTCACGGGTGTCGAGGGGGGGAGTCCAAGGTGACGCTTAGTCGTATTCAGATCACCGTCTGGGTGGATCTGGGATTCGAACTCACCACAAGTATATCCCGACACAAGGGACACAACTCGTGATGCGGCGCCGTACAACACTGAACATACCTAAACGTTTTTATTACTCTTGCAGTGGGACTAATTATTCGTAGATATGTCTATCGACTACAGTAAACTACGGTTATAACGAACTCACAGAGACCACTAATTTTAGTTTGTTAAAATCATAGTTCGTTATAAGCATATATACAGCAACTATACAGCAAATAGACGGGATCAAAACACATTTCGTTATATCCGTCAGTTCGTTATAAGCGTGTTCGTTATAAACGTAGTTTACTGTAGCATAGTTACTGCATCAGAAGTACAATAATTGCTTCAAATTTACTAAAAATGGTAAACATGTATTCAAACGTGAACTTACATTGACACATTGAGAAATAAAGAAAGTAGAAATTCGTTGTATATTGCCCAGCTTATAAAACGACTTTCGTTGAACTCTGACGGCGCTTTTCGTACTACTATACACAGTCTCACGCCCCACAGTAAAAACAACAGCTCCGCTGAAACCAAAGAGGAATAAATATAGACTTACATTCAAACATACCGGTATCTACATAGTAAGCATATAACAGTATCCGATTCAACCAAGAAGTCATTCTGTCCATCGTGCTGATTTTTAACATTATCTCTCGCTCGCCGGACACAATACTATCAGTTGAATGTCCTATTCACCGAGGATTATGCTTATTTCTCTTTAGTCAGACGTGACATTTACGTGTTTGTAATCACATTATTTGTAAACAGATTCTTAATGATCCATATACTAGATCTTCCAAGGGACTCGTTTTCGTGTCGGATTTGATTGCGCGCGACTTGGAAGCAACGCGCCCTTTTGACACTCACCTATTACGGCGGAGTGATCCCACCAGTCGGAAGAACATTGGTATGCCTTGAGGCCGCTTACATCTTTACCTAAAACGTAAAAAGCGAATCCAAATTAAATTATTATCAAATCACTTGTTCATGGGGGACTAATTCCTAATTTCACTAATGACAGCTGTGTTGTGCTGGCTCTGCGATAGAACAAAGAAAACCGAAGCTGTGTGTACTTCATTCCCTCGGTTTGTCATCAAACACGATAGTGACGTCATGACGCAAGTACTGTCCCGCAGATGTCAATTTTCTGCGCAGAGATTGGTTGTCGATTTACGTGATGATCAACTTAAAGATACGATTTCTTAACGATCAGAGAGAAATTGATGTAATTAATGAAATGAAGTAGAGTGAATCTTAACAGCAAATTATCACAGTGGGACTTCACCTGAAACGGAAATTATTCGAGAAGCGAAAAACGACATTGACTGCCTTGTACCATTTAGAAGAGCTGCATGACTTTGCATTTGACCGATCGCTCTAGTGAGAATTTGTTTTGACTTTCAACAAGCATTCGTTCATACGCCGCTTCAAGAAAGGTTATGCTCTTTGAGATAATTGTCAAGCTGTATTCAAGACAAAAACGTAATGCATTCAAATGAAGACTTCTAATCAGCCTCAATCCACTGATCTTGATCAAATCTGCCGAGTATTCTCGCATCTTCTGCCACTTCTGGAACTAATCTTGTGTCAACGGTTGTGCACAAATGAAAAAAACCCGATCTTCTCATCCTCCAATATTAGTTCATAATACAAAACTGGACATCAATTACAAAGTGGTTTTTTTATCTCTACCCGGGAAAGATGTTTTTTATTCTTTAAACGGGTTACATCTGACATTGGAGTTACATGAGACAAGATTCCGTCCATTTGTTTTCTCAGCAATGCGTCAATGCAATAAACACAAATTTAATCTATATAATGATCTTTAACATTTGAAGGACAAACAAATGTTGATAAATATATCTCGGAATTATTGATAAGTCAGCAAGAAATGTTGTAAGACCATATTAAGGTTCTGTTTGTTTGTTAGTTGCTTAATGCCGCTCTCTGCAATATTCCAGCTATACGACGACAGTCCGTTAATAACCGATATTTGAGTCTGGACCATAAAATCTAGTGATTAACACCATAAGCATCAATCTACGCAATTAGGATACGATTTAATCCATCTCAAGATGTCACCAATGTGCTCGATATATTTTGTAAAGATATCTTAAGACTAAATAGGTCGATACCTTCTTCGGTGCTTGTGACGAATTGGGTCGGCTTGATCTGGGGGCCAATCTGTATGTCAGTATTATTAAGTACAGTCAACTACGTTTATAACGAACACGCTTATAACGAACTGACAGATATAACGAACTTATTTTTTAGTCACGGCCATTTGTTGTATATATGTTGTATATGTGCTTATAACGAACTACGGTTATTACGAACTAAAATCAGTGGTCCCTTTGAGTTCGTTATAACCGTAGTTTATTGTATTGGATATACTTGATACAGCAGCAGGATCATATTATCCAAAGCCAGGTCTTTTCCTATCAGTATAATATTGTGGAAAAAGGGCATAAAGTGTTGGGCATTAAATGTAAAAAAATGTGATTTGTTCTTTGTGTTATGGGCCGGTGGCCCCTTTATTGAATAAACTCATTATTCATCTATTGTTCCATCACCACTAGCTCTAGTTTACGGTTACAGATTATTTTAATGCATTGTACATATACTACGTTTATCACGAACACGCTTATAACGAACTGTGTCTTTTTGTCTCAGCTATTTGCTGTGTATATGCTTATAACGAACAACGGTTATAACGAACTAAAATAAGTGGTCCCTTTGAGTTCGTTATAACCGTAGTTTACTGTATATTCAACATGAACATGTTCATATCAAGTTACCAAGTGCAATCTGTTTTTTTTACCTGGAGCGGTATATTTTAGCAATGCTTTGCTTGTTTATCAATCCGGATTTCATTTTTTGAAATGTTTTAACCATTCATCCTGTGGTATACGATGACAGGCATCAACCGAATTTGGCTGAAATTTCGTGGCTTGATCGTAGCGTCACCTACGGAAGCCTTTTAGGGCCATTTGTTTTTTTCGATACTTTCTTGAAATTTCAAGATACTAAGTTGAAATTTCAAGAAACTATGTTGAAATTTCAAGAAAAATATCTTGAAATTTCAAGATACAGAAGTTGAAATTTCAAGATAGTAAGTTGAAATTTCAAGAAATTAAGTTGATATTTCAAGATTATTCACTTCAAACGTATTTTTACATCTTAGGATGTTAACTTATTTTCTTGAAATTTCAACTTAGTATCTTGAAATTTCAAGATAGTATCGGAAAAAACAAAAAACAAATGGCCCTAAAAGGCTTCCGTACTCTTCCGTAGTCACCAGTGGCCCTACGAGTTTTGTCGCTTCAATGTCCCTCCCACTGACCAATCAGATTCCACCTCTCATGCTACTTGCATTTGGTTCAAGCCAAATGGCGGCGTCCTGTCAAGACGATCTGATCAACTTAATCGAAGAATCGCTTCACATTCCCTGTCTCGGACACCCATTGTATGTAGATGTAGCACAACACTTGAGCGTCTTGATTGAAAACATGAAAAGATTTGAAAAAATATCTGTCGACGCCGAGTTGACGGAACACATGCTTTACAAATCCCGCAGTCGATCGAACACTGCACGGCAATCGCCATGTTGTTAACGAAGCGGGTGTCGATTTCGTTACGCGATTTTGATTTGACTTGGCACAGACTCGGTTATCCAGCCAAAATATAACTCCGAAATTCCAGCCTTGTTCGGCAAGGGTGGAAAGTGGAATTTTATAGTCAGTTTACTCTCTTGTCACATAAGCAAAGTGTACGAAAACGTAAGCTGCATGTAAAAACACAGAAGCTACAAAAAAGAAACACTGCTCTCTTGGGTCCATGGAATGTGAATAACTTCAAGGGCGGATCTAGCCTTTTAAGTTTGTTTGTTTGTTTGTTTGTTTAACGCCGAACTCAGCAATGTTCCACCTATATGACGGCGGTCTTTTAAATAATCGAGTCTGGACCAGACAATCCAGTGATTGATATCATGAGCATCAATCCACGCAGTTGGGATCGATGACATGCATCAACCAAGTCAGCGAGCCTGACCACCCGATCCCGTTAGTCGCCTCTTACGACAAGCATAGTCGCCTTTTACGGCAAGTATGGGTTGCTGAAGACCTATTCTAACCCGTATCTTCACGGGTCCCAGCATTTTTAAAAGAGAAGGGTCCAAAATATCAAAATCGTCTTTCTTAGATAATTTTACTTCCTACAACATACTACATTTGTTTTGCAAAGAGGGGTTGCGGACCCCCTGGACCCAAGCTCTGGATCCGCCTCTGAACTGGCGCCTAACAATGAGACAGTACTTAACCGTTGATCACAAACCAAAAAACACATATAATGTCTATATTACTTTGAACAAACCTGTAGAAATGCACTCCAGCCCTACGCCCCGTTTATGTCAGACATTGAAGCTACATAACCATTTCAGGCTCCAAGAAGTGAAATATCAACCACTCCCAGAGATTTATTGTTAAAGTTGTCGCACGAAAATGCAACCCCATTACTGTTTAGGCCCATACTAAGCTGACCGCCTCCGTGGTCTTGTGGTAGAGCGTCCGCCCGGATAGCGGAAGGTCCAGGGTTCGATCCCGGGCCGCGTCATACAAAAAGACGTTAAAAGATTGTACTTGTTGTAACCCTGTCTGGCGCTCGGCATTAAGGGGCTAAAACAAGGACTGGTCGGCTCGGAGTCAGTATACTGTGTCCGAGTGGGGTATTCATGTTAAACTGCGGCATGGTATCTCAGTGGGCACTATAAATCGGCATCAGTCCGGACTAGTACAAGCAGCCACACACACACATACACGTGCATGCACGTCGCTATATAAGTGCAATAATCTTGGACGCGACGTTAAACCCCATTTCACCTCACCTCACCATACTAAGCTAGATAAAGTTTCACCAAAAACATGTAAACTAGAATATTCATTATTAGTTTCCAAATCCGACAAATATACTGCTAATTCCTAACTGAAATGTTATTTGTTGATGAAAATATTACACATATTCAACAAACATTGTACCAGGATGCTAAAACAATATTATGGGCTCTTTATGTTAATTTGCCGTCTACTGTGTGAAGCGGTAGTAAAATGCCTTCACGTGAGGGTCACGGTCACTGCTGCAGCCACAGGCTGCAACACCTTCACGTGCATCGTTCATGCTTTACACAACTACATCGCGATGTACCGGAATGCCACAACTACAGTGCCGGTCAAAAGAAAGTATACACTTGAAAATTGGATTTGACCAAAACGTTACAAGATTTATATAAAAACGTTATTAGGCTGAAAACAGAAACTTGAGGGACATCCAAAACTATGACACGCTAGTGAAATACATCGCCATCGAATAATCATTTCTTGATTGTTTCATTTACACACACTATCAAACATGGTTGTATACCTACTTTTGCCTGGCAGTTTACATTTGTAATCATTTTCAGACACCATTAAACATGGTTGTATACCTACTTTTGCCTCGCAGTTTACATTTGTGCAAATCAGAAATCAAATATCACAGTGATCACTAACAAAGGTTTACGTGGCAGAGTTGCGCCCCTTAGACCTGCCAGAATCCTATGAGTTAGTGAGTATGGTTTTATGCCGCTTTCCGCAATATTCCAGCAATATCATGGCGGGGGACACCAGACACGTGGAGAATTGAACCGGGTCTTCGGCGTGACGAGCAAACGCTTTAACCACGTGCACTAGGCTACCCCACGGTCCCTAGAAACCTATGATCGTGGGTTCATATCCCGGCTCGGATTGATTATGTTTTCATGTTTTTCAGCACCATACCTGTCTGTCTGTCTTCCCACGAACAACTAAAGTGAGTGAGTGAGTTTCAGCCGTATAGCGACACATATAACTAGAGCGGAGATGTTACTGAAATGTTGTCGAAGCAGCTTGAAACCAGACACACCA